TGCATTTTTTTTGATAAAATGTCTTAGAGCTAAAACTTATTTTTGCAAAATTTCTAAATTTAGTTTCAATAAATTAATTAATAAACAAAATAAATAAAGAACCGTTTTGATAGTTAAACAGAGCGACGATACAATTCAATTCAAGTTTTTACTTTTAGGGTTTTAGTTTTGAATTATTGAATTTTTTGCTTCTTATTTTCAAACTATTTGAAAAAAAAACTCTTTTCTTATTAAATATTTTTGATTTACGTTTTTGCCCTAATTTTATTTTACGATTTTATTATTTGTGTCTCTTAATCCTGATGAAACTTTTTCAAAGGTAAAAACAGTAAAAAAAACTTTTACACCTAGGAGGACAAGTTACTTTTGTGATTCAAATCAAAAAAAACTTATTTAACACCTTTATTATAAGTAATTTGTAAACTAAATTAAACTAAATTTTAATGAGAGAACTATTAGTAACAGCATTGAAAAATAATATCAAAATATTTGAAACCAAATGACTAGTTACATTTTAATTAGAATTTCAAAGACGACGCTTATACTAGTAGTAAAACAACACATTATTGCCAAGAATTAAATATGTTTTGTAAAGTAAACAGTTTTAAATTAAAATTGTTTCTGTTTTATCAACAAAAGTTTAATTTTGTGGTTTGTTTTAATTTTTAATAATTTTTTGTGTTTGTGTAGAGAATCAAAAAATGTTAAATTGTTAAAAATACGATTACTCATTTGACAAACAAAGACAAAAAATAACAGTCTAGAGGTGTGATAAAATTAGTCTCAATGTTAGCAGTAATTAAACAATACATAATTGCCAAAAATGAAATATGTTTTGTGAAATAAACTGATTCAAATTAAAATTGTTTCTGTTTTATCACCAAAAGTTTGATTTTGTGGTTTTGTTTTAATTTTTCGTAATTTTTCAACAAACGTGTGTGTAGAGAAGCAGAATTGTTAAATTGTTAGAAAAGGATGCACAAATACGATTACTGATTTGAGAAACAAAGACACAAAATAAGAGTCTAGAGG